AATTTATTTCCAGTACGGTTGCGATTTACTCAGGATTTTATTATATCTGAACATTACAAAAATTTGTTAGACAAAATAGCACATGTGAAATACATTAAATTTGAGGATTATCAGGATATTCTTGGTATCATTTTATAAGTTTCAAGAAGAAAATGTAGCTGCTGTAAGGAAACCAATGGTTTAAGTAAACAAGAAATGTTTTTAGATCTTTATTTGGACCAATTTTGGCTCACAACCATTTGATTTGGTTCAGGAATATTGTGTGTATTCATTTTGAAAGATGCTGTTAGCTGAAGTTGGTCTGAAATTGTTTTTCTTTATACTGATGATTTCCCGAAAGTAGTAGTATTTTTATACTTAAAATGCAGAGAATTGTTTTGTTAATGCCCCCTATCTCTGGGCTCCGGTGGTCGAATTTAAATACATAGCGGGAGCAATGTATAAATACACAGTCTAGAAAGTTACTCTGAAGTAGAATTTTGTTACGACATTAAAGTTATACGTATGGTCTTGTATAAGAGATCTGTAAGTTGTTCATTTGGTATGAGTTGACCGTACGCAATACCTTACAACTTTCAGGTCACATGTATAACTTTGCCATTAAAAAATTTCTCGCTGCACAGTATGTTTTCGGATACTCTGTAGTTGCCAATATAACAATCACTTTATAGCATGCTGGTAATTTTTTATGTTGTGTATACCTTGGCTAGTAAGAAATTTAGCCTAAAGGTAGGCAGTTATTTAATACAAGATTGCACCCTATGTTTAGGCTGAATTTTATTTAATTATTTACTGGCTGAAGTATAACCTGAAAATCCTGATAGGTGCCTGTATTTGTCTTCGTAATGAAAACTTAAATGTACTGAATACACAAACTACAATTAAAAAAATATTATTTTCTAAAGAAATTCACTTGAAGAGCGTTACACAAATAACTTTTTATTCATTAGTAAAATTTATATATGATATGATAAGAAGATAACCTTTAAATATCAGTTAATGTATTTTAAATCTTCTCGAATTAACAGTTGATCTATAGGTTTCCCCCATAGTATAGATAAAATTTATTTATTATCAAAACTTATACTGTAAGATCATGTGATTTCAAAATTTCATAAAATAAAACAGTAATTAGACTATATAATTAATATTATTATGTATACAGTCTCTCCCTGACTTACGATGGGGTTATGTTCCAAAAAACACATCGTAAGTTGAAAACGAATACTGTAAATAAAACAAAACAGGCTATATGCAAGGTTATATAGTATGTAACATTGTATACTGCATTGTAAATTGTACAGAAAAAAAAGAAAAAGAATATATAGCACACTTCCAGGACTGAGGATACTACAAAGTGCGAGCTGCTTGAATTCAAATTCTAACAGTTTTTACTCTTTCGTTTCACTTGCATCGCCATCGTACGTGCAAAATATATGTCGAAACACAGTAAGTTAAGGAACATCTGTGTGTACATACACACAGATGTTTGTCGACTATCGCAAGGCCTTTTCTATCAGATCGTGAGCAATTGAATAAACGATTGCATAGCATCACTTTGTAAATTCATTTTTATAATATATCTATTTAAACTTCAGTATAGCAGCTTAAAATTAGTACCATCTTCAAAAAGTACCAATGTTACTTTTGAGAACAGATCTATTCCATAAAAATATTAGAGAATCCTTCAATATCTGAGAATGTACAATATTGCATTGCAAATGACATTATGATCATTAGTTCAAGTGACTTTTAAATCTTGTTCATAATGTAGATCTCACTATATATAATTCTTATTGTTCGTGGCACTTCAGTTTAATGCTAATTGCAGAGAATGACGACACAAAATCAGTTTGATTGTAATTTATATCAGCTTAGGTCCATTTTTTCTGTTAGATTTAATTATTTTTCTTGTTAGGGTCTGTCCATAAATGACGTCCACACTGGAAGGGAAGGGGTTGAGCTTCAGTTTCAGTGGACTTTAGTGAGCTTCAGAGACAATTTTTGAGAGTTTTTTTATCTCTAAAATGAAGTAAAGACATGCGGAATATCTTTAAATATTATCCTCTCTTCACATTGGAAGTGACACACAGAAACCATTAAGTCAATCACGATACTAATCACAAAGTTGTTAATATCACAGAAATGACTGAGTTTTCGATCTATGTTTATTAACATATTTATACACAGCCTTTTTTTTTTAACATTCTTTATAAAAGATTCATTCTGATGTGAATTATTTTTGGCATCATTTTCAGCTTTTGTTATATTATAAAATCATTTTTTTCAATTGAGTATAAAATGAAGCCAAAATTTTCTTTTTTGTAGAAGTTGGAGATGCAGTCGATTCATCTTCAGAAGACAACTGTTTTAAATACATTAACTGAATGAATGTGTGTCTTTTTAATTTAAGTTGGCACAAACTCAAATGTTTAAGAATGAAAGAATATTTTTGGATTACTCTTAATTTAACTACGTTGTTTATTTTCTGAGACATACGAAATTAAATTTGGAATCTTGCATAGTCGGTTGCGAAAATGTTCAAATTCCAAGAAGCTTTAGTCAAATGTAAACAAATTGTGTTAGTTGTTCACGACAGTTTATTTCAATTTGTCAGCCAGTAGTTAATTTTTCCGTCTTTAACAATTGGTGGAAATGTTTGTTGAAGTAAAACAAAAACTTAAATGAGCAATTATTTATTGTGACATTATCACAATGCAGACTGCAATTTTTAATCTATTTAATTTAAAATATATTCTCTCCACCTCAAATTAGTAATGTCTTGCTCCTCTACATTACTTTCCCTTTAACAGTAGAGTTGTGCCAGTCATCTATATAACTCGTTTTAGGAGAACTATTGAATTGAAATAACACGACTTTTGGCACAGACCGGAAGTTTGTATATAGTTAATTGGGGCCTCCTACCCCTAAGCTTTCCATATCTGCTCTCGATTTTCATCTTTCTAACTCCGTTCAAGAGATTAAGGAATGACAGACAGACAACAGTCTGTCTGTCATTCCTTAACACAGTGGGAATTTATAGGTCTATAACTTTTTTCAAATTGTGGCCCAAATAGTAACTAAATGAATGAAATTACTATTTTAAACTTTTTTTTTTTTATAGTATTGCTATTCTTTAACTTATATTTAATATTCTCTATAGGCTGCACACATTTGGAATTTTGCAGAATGCCAAAGTGTTTGTCATATGGCAAGCACATGTACTGTACTGTACATGTACATGATCATTTGCTGAATGTTTGTTTGTTATGATAAGTACAAATTTGAGAGATTCATCCTCTTTGATTTGACACAATATACAGCAAGGAGTGGCAAACGACAAATACTGAGTATTTGTTGAGCGAAGACACGAATACATCCTTTAAACTACTTGCTATTGCCCAAATGTTTGCTCAACATTTGTCAAATATCAAATGTGTGGTGCTCATAGTCTATTATAACTCACAATATCTGCTAATTTCACTAAGCGTTTTCCTCACTCACATCTAACTTCAATGCATCTTTCCACATACCTTCAATATTCTGCATTGTTTTTATATGTCCATAACAAATATAAATAAATGCTTCATAATCATTAAACCCTTCTCTTCTAATAATTTTCTGGAATTAATTTTCTATTATAATTTAAACTTAATTCTTGTCTACAGTGATAAAAATACAACTTATATTGCTAAATATAGAATTCTTTCTAGTAGTCCACAAATAATCTGATATATAATGAAAAGAATTCTATATATTGTTATCAAATGCATGCTGTTACCAAATAAAAACATATCCCATTTGTGCAGTATCAGTCTGTTAAATATTTAAGATGGCCTAAATTAGGCAAAAAATATTTGATGCTAAATTTATTCTCTGGCAAAACTAAAGATAGAAATATGTTTTTTTGGTTGATTAATTAATTTATTATACAGTAATACCTTGGTTTTCATTGACATCAGTTATCGCCGGTTTCGGTTTTTGTTGATTTTTTTCCTGCGAAAAATTTGTCTCGGATTTTGTCACCATTCCCGCATAACCTTGCTGCTAATTTTGCGAAAACAAAGGGCGACGCATGCATTTTCCTGCTCAGTGTGGCATTGTTTTTCATTGTGTGAGCATTATTACCCCGTGCCTCTAGCCAAACAATTCCATTGCTTTCCTTTCCTTTTTGCTCCCTCATAGGACAAAGAAAGTTTCCAAAGCCATCAGCCCTTCAAAGAAGGTTAGGAACACGATCGAGTTGATGAAGGAAATCATTGAAAAATACAAGAGTGACATTAAGATTGCTGAAATCGGCCACTTTTATATCAATTATTTATTGTTTTTAGTATTAAACACTATATTTATTCTCTATAAAATGTGTTTTTGGTATGTATTTTGGAGTGTCTAGAACAAACTAATTGGATTTACATTGATTCATATGGAAATAATTGCCTTGGTTTTCATCAGTTTCAGATTTCGCTGATTCTTTTGAATGGATTATCGATGAAAACCGAGGTATCACTGTATTTATCTTTGACTGTTATTCTGTATGATCAAGCAAAATGTTTATTTTTAAGAAGTATAGAAATGATAGAGACATGAGCCAGCAATATTTGTTATTGTCTTCTATGTATCATGATAAACACTAAAATCTTACTTGTAAAATAATGCTTGATGGTAATTAAGTTTAAAACATTAAAAATTAAAGATGCAGTCTTTCGAAATAGGAATCACCAATTTTTCTATTTCAAAGTTCTAGAATACATTTGTGACAACTGACCTTTCTGTGTAGCTAATTGACGACCGAGTAGCCTATACAGAAAGGTCAGAGCATAATGCATACATCCAGCTTTGTGGCTGTATAGGAAACCCTGCATATTTTGTTGGTCTGTGTGTGTAATTTGATGATGTTACTATGTCATTTACTTGCTTATTTTTATCGAATGCATATATTATGTATGTATACAATTAAGTTGTGAAGCATATTTTAATGAGGACCTATTAATTTGTTTCAGAATGTTAAAACTATTAGCATATTTGATCTGTCATTGTTATACAAGTCTCAAGTTTTGATGACGAAAAGCTTGGTTTAAGAAATTTAAGTAAGTAGTGATTATATTTTTTTATGTAATGTGTGTTTAATTTCAGATAGTTGAATAAGTTTTAGTATTTATAGCAGAAAAGTAGATTATAAACAGAGTAGATTCTCTGTAATCCAACAAGTATTGGACTGCCAAGTGTCAGATTGCTGGGTTTTGTATGCATGTGCATATTGTACAGTAGTAACAACACTTGATTAATATGATTAATTAATCTGTGACCATGATTATGACTGTTTTGCCAACCACACATGAAACAAACAATTAGCAACTGATAGTATACACACAATACATCAGTCTCACTCTGTTGCATACATTGGCAAGTGGTAGCATGAAAATTTCATGTGCACCATCCTGTGGAGTATTATATTATTAGACATATCAGATGCAAGTGAGACTATAGAGACTCTATTGTACTTTGAAACAAATAGATAAAATTACATATTTTTCTCTCATCAGGTCTAGACTTATTAAAACCTACATTAAAACTTACATTATATTTGATTTGTTCAAATAAATATTCAAAAAAAACCTTTCAAAATCCAACAACAAAAGTTTATTTAACAAATATTTTTAGCTTTCTAAAAGCTATCTTCATCTTTTGTTAATGTATAATGATCGTTGTTCCCAAAGTTATTAATCCACAAACCACTTAAACCAAGTCACAAATGAACTATGGGCATTCTAAGCTGCCATCCACTTTTTCCTGTAAGCATTATCTTAGGTAATGATAGATTGTATGCCAAAGTATTTTGTCTATCCTGTAAGAGATATGTGATGCATGAAATGTTCTTTTCTCTGGCTAAACAGCATAAAAGTGTACTTTGGAAAATCACTAGGTGTCCCCAGAGAATCACTGATGTAAACTAAAGTATCACGTCCAAACAAAGCTACAAACAAATTTATATCTAGAAATATTTTAATAAATTTTTTAAATGTTTCCTGTGTAATTTTTATCTTACATTAATCAAACCAGTTCATTCTGTAATAAACCAAAACACACAAATTTAAAAAGCAGGAAAAAAACACTTGCTATAATGGAGCTTAAAAACAATAAAAGAACATAAACATAAAGTCCAAAAACAGCAAAAACTCAGGTCTATCACCTCTATCATTAGGAAGAAAAGTTCATAGAATGGTTCAGCAAAATATTTGAAACATAGGAAACAAAGAATAGTGCAGGGTCTTTAAAACGAATGCTACCATTTTAAAGTACTGTAATTACTTTAAAATGGTAGCATTAATTATTATTCCGGAAGTATGCGATATACACCAATCAATAGAGTAACTATCGAGTTTTATCTCTTATCTGCATTCAAACATGTTGTCTACTACCTCTAGGAAGTGCCGTAAATGAAAATGGCAACTCCTGCAATAGAAGGCATTTTGTGTTCTGCAGTTCTCAGTCATCATTGCACATGAGAAATCTGCAGGAGCTGTAGAATTGAGACTGGTGTGGGAGGATCGACAATGGATATGCTATAGTGAGTGTAGAAAGAATTTAAGTATCGGTTGGATGTGCACCACGTGACACGAGGTACACGCATTGAGATACTGTAATGGACAAATGTGATACTTGAATAGTTTTCCAATGTTATAATCTACATTACAATGTTTTTGGATGATAATTAACATAATTAGAATAATTTAAAATGGTAGCATTCTTTTTGGAATATCGTGTAGAATAAGTAAAAAATTATCTAACACAGGCTGGTCGCGTGGAGTTCTCTGGGTTCTACAGGTAATACCTAAATAGGTAATAGTTTCCCCATAGAAAGCACCTTCTGTTGGCAGATTGAATAAGGCAAATGTTGCATTGCCTTATTCCATCAATTCAATTCATTCTTTAATTGAAGCACAGCAACTCAAATTGACAAATTGTTGAAATATGTTCTGTGAAGTAATGACTTGATCAATTTGAATGAACTTTTACGCATTAATAGAAGTAATAAAATGGCATGTTGTGATGAAGTATGTATTTTAAATTTGATCTAGAATGGGAGATATTGTGAGTGAAAAGCCATCCCCATGTTAAGTCAATGGGAAAATTTTGCATTGTATAAGAACATAAACAAAAGAATGTGCCCTACTTGGCATTTGAAATACAGTGAATCTCTTGCCAAATATTTTTTTGAGTAGTTAGTACTGATCTTCGTTTTCCATTTTCCTTGAAAACTTGACTACATATGCCTTTAACCTATATATATATAGTAACATATTATAACTTGCAAGGTTTATTATGGTAAGGAGTGTTAAATGAAATGATTCATCACTTCAATTTAGTGTCCCTTAATGATCTAATATGAGTTTGCAAGCCATTACTATGCTTCAGTCAGGAATGAAGTTCTCCTAGTTTATTATTAATGAGTCTCTTTTTATTGGATTATATTATGGTTAATCATTTAATTAATTATTCTAATATTTTAAGTTGTCTATATTAAATATTACATTAGTTTTGTTGTTATAAATTTTTACTGTTTAAAATATTTTAATAAATAAAATTTTATTTACAGATTTAATCTTGCTTTATCAAATTACATCGCTTGTAAAATGAGCAATAGAAATCATTCCATTGATACCATAGAAAGCAGTAATTCAGGAAATAGAAGCAACGTTACTTTAGATACTGCAAATTTGATTCCAGGAGATGTAAATATTCAGTCATCCAACAGGACTTCCTTTTCACCTCAAACGTGGTTATTCCAAAGTTTAAGTGGTATTCGTAGCAGTCAAAGTAACGAGAACAGTGTAAATAATGGAGAAAATAGTCGAAAATTGGGAACATTTTCTGGAGTATTCGCACCAGTATGTCTTTCGATGTTTAGTGCCCTTCTGTTTCTTCGAATAGGTAATTTATTAAAAATTGTCTTGTTTTGTTTAGCCATAATTGTCTCTTGTTGTTTATTTTAAAATACTTAGTATATAATCTTTCTTATAATTAATATAATAGTATATCAAATTTATGTATTGTTTATATAATGAATAAATGTTTAAAGTTTATTATACAGTAATACTTCGACTTACGTGAACCCGGAGTTACGCAATTTTCAAATCTCGTCGATTCGTCTTTTGTTTGAGCACCACGCAAGTTTTGATTACTCACTTCCCCCCACACTATTGTTCGGCTTACATGTTCGGACGTGCAGCGCGGAATCGACGCATAGCTACAATTTATTTTGTGTTATTTATTTCTGTGTTTGTTATATCTACGAAGACTCTAGAGACTCTATTATGGTGATCTCTTGTAACCGTGAACGAATCAAAAGACGAGATAAGATTAACAAGAACATTTATTAGCTTACATACGTCCAACTTGGATTTTACACAAATTGCGAAATTATATTCCGACTTACGTGAATTCGACTTACACGGTTATCTCTCGGTCCCACCTATTGCGTAAGTTTGGGGTATTACTGTATAAACATACACATTTATTTAAAGGTTAAAAACATCCAAATACTGCCAAAAATTTATAAAAATTATCTGATTCCCTTACGAAATTTTTTTGTTTCTAAATTATAAAAGTGAAAAATAAACAATTTTAATAGCATTATTTAACTCTAGATGAGTTTTAATGTCCATAATCAGAAGCCAATTAGTTTTGTTTGTACAAATATGAGTACTGCTTTTCACATGTTAGTCACCTTCAAGCAAGATTTGAATATTACTTTGACAGCTATTTCATTAACCGAATAGAAATTAGCTCTCATAATAATTTTTATTAATGCAATAAAAATGATTTGCTTTTCATTGCCTCAAATTTAATTCGACTGCCAGATGGTTGAGAAAGTTAAGAAGACTTCAATCTACTGCTGTGGGACCCGGGATCAAATCCAGGTGAACGACCGCCCCAGAAATTTTCAGGAGCAATTGGTCTCATTTGTCAGGCTCCATTCTCATCATTCAGCATATGATGGATAGGATTAAAAAGGTTCTGTTAGTACCACCATTTAATGCCTTAAAACAAGATCATTATCTCCTTTTAAAGCATTATTCAAAGATATATAAAATAATATTTAACATATGGTAATTCTCTTACTATCAATTAGTTTTCCGAAAGGAAGTTTTTTCCTTTTTATTTGTAAAAATTGGACAAATCGGAGTTGAAACTTCAGTTTTAAGAATAAGATAAGTTTTTAATTTCATAATTCGTTTGGTATATGCTCTCTACAAATAAGGAGTAATTTTATTTAATTGTTTTATAACTTTTATATAAAATAAGAATAGTTTGATTTAAACATAACAGTGTTTTTTTTACTACAGTTTCTACTACAGATATTGGTCTACAGATTAATTAAGCATTTTTAATATTTCATTATGAAATGTTTTGAATTTTCATTTAAAAGTAAACAATTTATTTGTATTAGAATTATAATTCAGAATTATATATTTAATATAGGTTTCGTTGTTGGCTTTGATGGCTTGTTGTTAATGATTGCTCAGCTTTTGCTCGCATATATTATTCTTGTTGCAACTGTCTTATCAATTTGTGCAATATCTACAAACGGAGCTGTTGAAGGTGGTGGTGCTTATTGTATCCTTTATGCTATATAATGAAACTTTCGTGATCTTAATATCATATTTACTCAAATCTAAACTGCATTAATTTTCATATTATCACCCACAAATTTTTTTTTGAAAAAATAGATGGCTTGAGACGACAAATATTTATTGTAAGTAAAGTAAGTTATATACCACTGTTTTCTATAGTATCAAAGTCAGGAACCTCTTTACTTGACATGTTAATCTCTTCTGAATCAATACTTTGTTTTAGTCATGCTTTATTCATTATATATGTATAGTTTTAGTTTCAGTATATTAAACTCTGCTCATCAAAACCGTATTCAATGTTTACACCTTTCCACATGCAATCATAGTCAATGCTGTTATGTTGCATTTCCAATGCTTTATTCTTGAGAGAGCGCAGCACAACTTTTTCTAGAATTTTCATCCGAGTATTTATGACATTACTGTAATAGACTAAGAGTTTGAGCTAACTTGCCTTTGTAAATATTTTCTACTACAGATATTAATCTAATAAAATGATTAAAATGATACACTAGAATTAGTAACAGAAAAATAAGACTAACAATCCATCACAAATAGAACTGACATTGCTTTCATTGACAAATGTAATAAGGTTACTTATAGACATTTTCATTCAATACTCATAACATTAAAAATGCTAACACTGAATAAAATCAACAAGTACACTCCATCACCCAAGAAATTAGGCATCTGTGGAAGATGCATAGTGTATTTATTGTGCTTATTGTCCTCTCTTCCACTAATGTCATATCACATACACTAAACAAGTCTAGAAATGTTAAATCTTAATAAAAAAAAAATACATGGCACTACAGAAAGCTGCAATATTGAACACATATCGCATCGTTAGGAAGTTTCTATATGTTGACACACATACCAATAACTTGGCATAATGTTATGCTTCTTTGGGTAGCTATGCCTTGTGACTTTATTCCAACATAGCACTATTATGACAGAGATTTTTCATCTCATTATGCTAATTTAAGTCCCATTTTTTTAAATAGAATATTAGGAGTCTCATTTATTAGTATTCCTTTTCTTTTTTTAGCGAAAATATCTTTTATTTACAGATATTTGCCTCTTAAATTAATGACGAGTCACACAGAGGTTCCACGAGATTATAGTGCAGCTGATAAATTTATAGCTTCCTATACCTTTTCTATGTTCAGATATGTTGAGATGTAACACATGATTAGTAATAGTTATATATGTAGCCATACACATCCTCAAATGGAGCAAGTGGGGGTATAATTGTAAAAGTGATTGAGATATGTAACCACATACCCTTGACCATGGGACACTTTATAGAATACAATATTGCATCAAAATGTACAGTACCTGTGAAAAAAAACCCAAAAAGTTAATTTTCTACTCTAGTCTTAATAATGCCATTAAGCATCATACACTATTATTATTATTATTATTATTAATTTTTAATTAATTTTTAATCAATAATTATTATTAATTATTGATTCAGGCACATACACTAACATTCAAATTTCTGAAATAATTAACATGTACGGTTCTAAAAAATTAATTTCTATAAGTATAAATATTGTATCTTTAATCAATATTTTATATTTGTTTTTATATCAGTTATTTCTCTTAATAAAATTAGTTATGATTAGTAGAGCCTTAGGTCCTGAATTTGGAGGAAGTATTGGAACATTATTTTTTCTGGCAAATGTATTTTCAAGTGCACTTTACGTCACCGGATGTATTGAAGGATTTGTAGATGATTTCGGACCATCAGGTAAATATTAACATATAACATATAAAATACCTACATAAAACAAAATTTTATCAATTGATGATATGAAATATATAATCAAATTTATAATATTTATTTAAAAATTAATATTTTTTTAAGTAAAACTGTAATGGAGGTGGTTCTCTATGGTCTTTTGACTTTAAATACACAACTTTAAGAGATTATTATTATTTATTTATTTATTTTAGAAACTTACATAATCTGAATATAAACTATTTTCATAAAGAAAACTAATCTGAATTAATCTTGTGATGAAATATGACCAGATTAATTACAGTACACTCTTGCTAATCTGGTGTTTAATAATCAGGCATCTCAGTAATCTGGCATATTCACCAGTGTGATTGCTCGTTGCTTCCATTTCCATGAAAATGTTACTTGTGTCGCACATCTTGTTTTCCTGTTTACTCAGATTTCATTTCAGTGTACTGTATTGCATGTCAACATGCCATATTATTTGCTTGCCTGCCTTTAAAATGAATTGGTACTGAAGGGCAATGTGTCACATCATTTCTTGCACTTTCCGCATTCTGGCAATCTTGTTAATTTCATACTCCTCTAAGCAAAGAATGGTTGGATTAGCAAGTATCTAATGTATTGGACAAGAATTTGGCTGATTAATTTTGTAGGTATTGCATAATTTGGACTAAAGGTTATGCTGTTATCATTTATTTAATATAAGAGGATGGCCGATCTTTAGTCCAAATTATGTAATGTTTATGTTATTAATTAGCCAAGTTTTAGCCTGATAGTTAATCTGGCATTATCATTTGTAAATTATTTTAAATACAAAGAAATATAAAAAATAAAATTAGATAATTATTAAATCAAAAATGTCAATTGTTTTATAACATAGATTTTATAAACCTACATTGACCTCACTCACTGATATGAAATGTTTGAGTAAGAGGATGCTTCTTATAGAGAAATGATAGTATAATTGAAAGGAATATATTATATAAGTTGCCAGAAAAACCTGAAATTTAAAGGAACGTAATACCGTGTGCACCACAAGGTGTAAAACTTATCCTCCAATAATAAAATTTTATATGATTATAAATCATTATGTATATTTAATATATATAAAATCCTATCAAAAATATTCTAATCTTTTTTTTAATTTAATAATTATCTAACTTAATTTAATTTAAATTTGTTTACATTCAGATGATGAATCGTGTAATAATCTTATGAGCTAACTTATTATTAGTTTTTTTACTCTAAAAATTAAATAAAATTATTATTTATCCAAGTTTTAATACTGTATCTAAATGTACAGTACAATTAAAAAAAAAAATTTTTTTTTCTTTCAGGAAGTATAACTTCATACTTTCCATCAGAATTTTGGTGGCGTTTTTTGTATGGATCATTCCTTAATTTTTTTAATCTAATTGTGTGTCTTATCGGCGCTTCGATGTTTGCACGAACCTCGTTAATAATTTTTTTTGTCGTTATTGCAAGTGCTGCATCTGTGTTTGTTAGTTTCATGGCACAAAAACCTTTTTCTGTTGCTTTGCCGGAAGAAAATACTTATATTAGACAATACAATATTTCACGTGCCAATTATACTGGATTCAATTGGGAGACATTCAAGGAAAATTTGTGGAGTAAGTACATTCAAATTAATTTGTATAATGTTTAGCTTTTATGTATAATTTAATAACTTTTAAAACAACAGAACCCTAAACTTTATAATTACCAAGTCATTAACTGCAAGAATTTGGTAACTTAAAAAGTTTTGGTTTGGTTATTTTTATGTACTGTATGTATGCACATCCCCCACACTCTCATATTCACGCACATCCATTACCATTCCTCTCACAGCAGTCAGAATTCTCTGGCTCCTGCAGATAACTCATATTACATGATGGTGAATGACTCTGACTCTGAGCTGCAGAACACAAAATGCCTTCTCTATTGTTGAGTTGTCATTTTTGTTTATGACACTTCTTAGAGGTAGTAGAACAATAAGATGTTTGAATGCAGATGGGATGAAACTTGGACATTTACACTATCAATTGGTGTACATCTTGTACTTCTCAGATAATTAATATAAGTACAGTAATTTAAAATGGTAGGATTCATTTTGGAAGACCCTACTTATATACGTATCATACTAAGGTGAAAGTTAAGTTGGTTTACAGCCATTATGGGCAGAATATGGAATTGTCTCTAGTGCATGGCTATTGACTCATATAGTTCTCTCTCAAATTAATTGAAATAAAGTCAAAGATCAGACGAAGTTCTAGATAGTGTAATTGATAATACATCTATACAATAAAAGGATATTGCAGGGTCAAGTCCTGCTCCAGATTGGTTTTTTTGTTTATGTATATATTCTATGATGTAGGCTGTTTTTCAAGCTCCAATGGTCCATAAAACAAAGACAAGTATAAATAACAAAATTAATTTATTACCAAAAGTTATGTACAAACATGGTTACTTTTCGACATAATCACCATGAAGATTGAGGAATTTGTAATATCTGTGGACGAGCTTTTCCATCCCCTTGTCATAGAATGTTGCCGCCAATGACTTGAGATGGGCTCTAACATTTTTTTGAAGATCGTCATTAGTCTCGAACCTCTGCCCTCCTAGCCACTTTTACTCTTCAGGAAAGAGGTGGAAGTTGCTTGGCGCTAAATCAGGACTATATGCTTGATGTTTAAAGGTGGTGAAAACTTCCACCCAGCTTAAAACTTTTTTAATATGTGAAGACTTCCACCTCTTTCCTGAACTGAAAACGTGGCTAGCAGGGCTGAAGTTTGAGACTAATGACGATCTTCAAAACAATGTTGTTAAAGTCATCTCAATTCACTGGCAGCAACATTCTATGACAAGGGGATGGAAAAGCTCGTCCACAGATATTACAAATTCCTCAATCTTCATGGTGATTATGTCGAAAAGTAACCATGTTTGTACATAACTTTTGGTAATAAATTAATTTTGTTATTTATACTTGTCTTTGTTTTATGGACCATTGGAGCTTATGAAAAGAAAAACAGCTCTCATATATGTAAATAAACTTACAAAAATATTGTTATAACTAATCATAGGAATATTAAAAATCAAAATAATAATAAATTTCAACTGAAACAATGAAGAAAAATTTTATAGAGATTTATATGGGTGTTATCCATAAAGAAGACATCAAAATAAATCTCTATAAAATTTTTCACCATATCCTCACCATATGGTCAATCCTTATAAACCTGGTGATTATTTTACTTAACTGATCAACACATGCATTCTACTGGTCATGTGATCATGGCTGCAGTATATTGGTCACATGACAATCAGCTTTATCTGCAATCTGTACTCAATGAGGTGGTTAGGCTGGAATATAAGAAGAGAGATGTGCAAATGTGTTAGGAGATCCTAATACATTTATTATTATTATTGATACATTTATTACTATTATAATTACAAATAATTACTGTTGCCTCTGCCACATTCCTTATAGTAATAATTTAACAAATTTCAACACATTAAACCCAAATTGGTTACATATTCATATGTTATAGACTCCAAGAGTATTATAAATGTACATGCAGAAAGAAAACAATTACTGAGAAGAGGAATAAAATACTCAAAAATTTAAAAAATTTAAAGAAACTAAGCCGTGTTCTTTCAACCATGTCCAATTGTCAGAAAACAATAACTATGTTTCTTCACAGAGATGTTTTGACGTAAGCTATGCCCCAGCTGAAATATGCAAGAAAGAAAGATGATGACTTAGTTTCTTCAAAATTTTTTAATTTTTAAAAAATATCGTACACCATTAAAATACACAAAAATTTGATTATTTTACTTAGTTACGCTTAAAAAAATCAATGTAACCCAGAAATTCTGGATCAAACCTGCAGAGGAGGTCACCCTAGTCACTTGATGTGGTCCATACTCCCTGTAATGCCACCTGTATGGGGGCAAGCTTAAAAAATTCTGACTGGCATTTTACTCTTTTGTAGCCAGTTCTAGGTATATTAGTTACAGTCCAAGTGTAAAAAAATACATAACAGTAGCCTAAGTTTGCATGATGAAAGCAAAAACATATATTATATATAACTCATATAGGCCCTGCTAAGATAAGGGTACTTAGTCACCTTATAGTTCCATCATAGCTATGGTTCTGACATGGCTACAAATTCCATACGCATCAATTGGAAATTGTCTGTATGCACCTCCCCATTTTTCATACAAATTTCAATTTTTCTTCTCTTCTTTCGGACACTTTCTTCC